CTAACTTGGAAAAGTTCATGGTCGTGTTGTTGGTATTCATTTTAGACGATCGAATCCAGGTTCGAAGGAAAAGATTGTTCAATTCGAAGCTCTGTAATTGCTTTTAAAATAAGAGACAAGATCAAACCATATCAAATAAAGAGAAATCTTGTATTAAAACAAAAGCAGTTACATCAAATGGCCCTATTTGGGTACAAACTCTAGCTCATAAAAATAAGGAATGAAATAAATAATAAGATTATGAAATTTAGTCCAACAATGATCAATGAATTTTTGTTCCTTCTTTATTCTATCTTCTATGTCTTCTAACATTGGCTGCATGAGTTGATGTGCTCTCACTTCGTAGTAAAGCTCTTCAGCCTTCATTTCGAAAGCTGTCTCTCTCAATCCTTGTTCCAATTCGTCTATGTCCAAGTCATCCCAATACGCAGAATCTTTATTCTTGAAATCACCAAATTCTTCAATGAAGTTCTCTGCTTCGTACTGGGCATGAACTCGAAGAGACGAAAGTTGGTCTAAAGATTGTGTAGTGGCCATAGAATTTCGATGCCAGTAGAGGAGCGATGGAAGTTGGTCCAGGAACATATGAAGTTCTGCTTGGGCAAGGGGATTAAGAACATGGCCCCTAGTCGGAATATCACAAGCCCATCGATGGTTTTTGAGAGGGACTTTGTCCTCAAGAACATTGAAGGGCAAGTGAGGGAAAACTGCAAGCAGAAGTTGGGCTTGCTTCAGCTCAGCTGGAGTAGGGGAAGGTAGAGGTTTGTAAGGTGGAAAGACGTTGTCCATAGAAAGGGCAAGCTTCAGTCTCTTTGCCCAGCAAAGAGTTGGTAGAGGGGAAGGTGTGGATGCTTCAATTTCAGGAGATGGATAAGAAAGTGTGGATGCTTCTATTATGGGAGATGGCACGGGAGCAGAAGGAACAAAGGCATTAATATAATCGAGTCAGTCAGAAGAACAAATCTTCGCCTTCTGGGCTAAAAATGATGGGTTGTACTCATGTGCTTCTTCTAGGCGTCGGACAACATGCACTATCTTTGTAGGCATGGAGGATGTATACCATGCTACAAGCAGATTCTCCTCCAGACTACGTCGAGGTCAATGGGCACGTAGGGGTAAACCACTGAACTTCGAGCATAGGAAGGGAACTCTAAAGGGTCAGTGAACTCAACAAAATGATGGTTAATTCGCTCCCTCAAATCACAGGTCTCAGGTGTTGACCAGCTTATCCAGTCAGAATGCCCAGAAGAGGGAGAAGTTGCAGCTTTGCCCCATACAGAGGATTGTGATGAAGAATTTTCCATGTCCATATGCAACTTTCTGAATTAAAGGATTGAGAGCAATTTGTTCATAGTCCAAGGGTGATACAGAAGAAGAGCCTCCCATGTCCATATATTATGAGTTTCTGGATCGAAGGATTAAGGGCAATATGTTCGAAGTCCAAGGATTGATAATTGGCAAAGGCATCCATGACCTGAATATAGAAAGGTGGGTAAAAGTGGCTAATAAATGCATGGACATTCTTTCGAGGAGAAACAACATCGACGTACGACTCTTCATGTGCTCGATCGCTGGAAGAAAAAAGTAATTCGGCCATGAAATGTATCAGTCTGTTCGAATGCTAAGACGATGGAAGTATTCAAAGGATTAAACAAGAGTTTAATATAGATGGTGAGTGATAGTTGCATTGTTGGGAAGACGAAAAACCCATGCACGTTCTGAGACGTGGGGAAAAGACCCTGAACCACTAATATCACCAAGTATATTAGTGCGGGGGGTAATGTTGGTTACATATTTTGTGCAAGCCAGTTACAATTCAACGCGTGGCAAAGTAAGGGTAATATGGGGAGACCATTCAAGTCTTCGATCCTGATCGTACACGTGGCAGTTAATATTGGTTGTTATGAGATCTGAGTAGTAGTGGATCAACAAAGAGATGCAAGATGACGTGGCTTCAACAGTTACTCACATTCAAATTCAAATATAGGAGGGAAGCCTAACTGCAAGTGATGGCGTAGTGGAACTACTTATAAGGTAGCATGATCAGCGACCACGGAGGAGCAGTTCGACGGTTTGAAGTGAAATTCGATGGTCATCTTTGAGGAGTATAAATAGCAGGGAAAACCCCAGAAAATGCCCCAGACTCAAATCCAAGAAACCAGTCTTACTTTACATATTTCGTTCCAGTTTTTATATTTCCTGTTCTTTACATTCCTGTATTTTATTCCTGCACTGCACTTCATTCATAGGAGTAGTTTCAAGTAGATTGTCGCTGTAAACCTCTACGAGGCTGAGTTTGGATCATTCCACCAGAAAAGGTCCTCTTCATTGAGGCTGAAAGAATTACAACACAATCGTCTGATAATTGGTTGGCAATCAAAATTCTGTAATGACTGATTGATCCTTGCTGGCACGTTCATAATTACAAAAATAACCTTCGAAAGCCAAAAAGTCAACAGTTACAAAGTAGGTCGAGAAGATCTCTCATTTTAAATTTTTATTTATTTATTTATTTTTATTTTTGCAAGGCGGACAAAGGCTTAGGCACACCATCTTGCTGCCTACTTGTAAAAGATAATTTCATTCTCGATAGAGTATAGTTAAAAATTTTATTTTTTTATTAAATAAAATTCTTTAACAATGGGATGTTTATAATATTTAGAACTACAAGAAAGAATTTATATTTTAAACAAATCTCAGAAGTATATTTGTAATTTATTTTAAAATATAAAAAAAAAATTACCACAAAATATGTCTATTGATGAAAGAATATTCTTGTTACAAAAGTTTAGATTAAAAAAAAAATAAAAATAGTAAAGGGTTAGATATTTCATGTTTTAGTTAAGTGGCATAAAGATACGAAACCCCTGTTGAGGGACAAAATGTAATTTACCCTAAAATATACTTAGAGCATTGCCATTTAAGATCAGAAATTAAACTAAAATTTTAAGCTCAATGGTGTAGCAATCAATTAGGATATTAAGGAATTTTTGGCCATAACTCCTTCTTAGACCCCATTTTTCTTTAAAATGACAAACTCTAATTTTTTAGCTCATAAACTCCTACAAAATAAAAAAATCTTGTAAGAAGGACAAAAAATTTCAGATTTATACTGTGTGACAAATTTACCCATTTACATATGCACACTCTCTCTATCTTTCTCTTCTCTCTCTCTCTCTCTCTCAGTCTATCACAACTCTCTCTCTCTCTCAGAGCTCTCTCCATCACAACCACCATTTCCATTTATTATGACCACCACCATCTTAACTATCAACGCCATTCAATGCCACCATACCATTAGCAACCACCATTGTCATTCTTCGCTTCCAAGACCTTCGATCTGAGACTGACGACCTTAGATTTGAGATCTATATTCTCTTGCTCTCTTTCTCTTTATCTTCTCATGATGCTTTGTTTTTCAGACAGTAAATTTTTACTCTGATTTGAACCAGATCTGAGACAATTTATGTGCTTTCTATATTTCTATTTCTCTATCTTTTTCTTTTTATCTCTATATGTATATATATTTATTTTAGTGCATTTTTTTTTTCATTATCAGTTAGAATATTGATTTTGAGATCTCAAATGAAAATGTTATTTTAGTACGTTCAATGCAAAATATTAAAATTTTACTCTGTGTGAGCGTAAAATTTTATTGTTAACGTTATTCATTCAATTTCTCATTTAATATCTATATGAATAATGATAATAACATTAGTAAGTGTGGTGGTTAGTGATAATAATAGCAAAAGCTCACTATTTATATGTTTAAAGTAAACAGTAAAATTTTACTATCCAAATTAACTGAGTAAAATTTTACTATCACTGGAGAATCTTGCCGAAAAATATTATCCAACCGACAGTGGTGGTAGAAAAATTGTTGCCGGCTAGGGTGATCAACGGTGGTCGGCGATAGTCGGTGATGGCAAACAATGGTAGATTGTGGTTGTGGTAATGTAAAAAAATGATACAAGTTGAGGGTATTATTATCATATTTTTTTAAATATTTTGAATTTTGTTCTTCATGAATTAAATGGTTTTAACTTGTCCTTTTGGCAATAAAGTTTGAAATTAAGAGACTTATTACAAAAAATGCCATGTATTAAAGGTAATACAGTCTCTTATATCTTTTTTAATTGATGGTGCTACATGCACCAATTAATATACCAATTAGTGTACCAACATATATTATGACATTATTATTGATTCCATTCATTATACAAATTATAATTATCCAAAATCTCTAAAATTATGTCACATCATCTGTTAATATATTAATTAATATACCAATTAATACATATAATATTATTCTCTAACAATCAACCAACTATATCACTTATGCATCATTAAATTTAAAAAGTGAATTTATATATATTTTTCATATATGTATAACCTTTAAAATGAAATGTACATTCCGAATTAATGATTATGGAAGTTTTCAATTTTATTAATTTTGTAAAAGTGATAGCCCAAAATGATGTAAAATTAAGGGAGTAATCATCAAGTGAGGGCGCGACCATTGTACACCTCTCTAGTACCTTTCTTCATCGGACCGAATAATCAGCTTTTTTTGATTAAAAAAAAGAAAAAGAAAAGAATAATCAGCCCTCCAAAGCGCGCGCTCTCTCTCTCTCTTAAATTGCTCATTGGATTGGACCTAAAATGGCGTGCACTTCTCATTTTCAATCCCAACGACAAGGTAGGGTTTCAATTTCGCTCTTTCTTTCCCTTTCAACACTCCTCGCACCCAAGTTTTCTCTCTAAACACTCAGTTCTGGGCGACGTAGCACTCTGGCCCTTAATTCTCTAACGACAATGCAAGAGAATTCGATCTCGGCAAATAGAATGATGGTTAGTGCGTTGTTTTTCCTTTTGGTTTCCAAGAAAATGTTGGAAAATTTTGATTTCTGAATCCTCTTTTCTTGGTAACCAAACAGAGAATTAGCTTGATTATTAAGCTAATGAAATGTTGGGTTGGATTTCAGGTGATTGTTCCTCCTCATCCACTGATAATGCACTGGGTTTCAGTTCTTAGAAATGAGCAGACTCCTTGCCCTATGTTTAGTGAGTGACAGTTCGAGTTTCACCATTGTTTTGTCTTTAATGGGAAGTTCATTAGCGTTTTTCTCTGCTGTCAAGTTTGTTACTTTTTGTGTGAATTTTAGTGTTTTCCGCAAAAAGTCTTGATCTGGATGCAAATTTAGTTTCCATATCCTTGCAATGCACACTGTTGTCTTCATGATTTTCATTCAAATGTGATTATAAAGCTGCCCTCTTTTTTCACTGACAATGAAATAATTTGAGAATTTATGAATTGAATAGGAAACTTCGGCCAATGTTTGTCATTGAGCAAAATTTTGCAATCTTCTTAGACATGGAGAAGTAGTTGGCCATTTAAATGTATGGTGCTTAAATCAGGACACATTCTTAACCAGCCCTTTTTGCTACTAGGGTATGCATGATGCAGCTTGGTTTGAAATAGTACTGGGAAAAAAACTGAATTGAATAGGTGATGGACTTTGAATCTGAACTGATTTACTTGGAACCAACCCAAGGGATAATTAAGCATCTGTGTGAAGTTTACATTGGGTTTGTTTGACACTTGCTGACTCGTTGGTTAAATCACGCCATGGGAATTCCATAGAAGAACAATAATTCATTTAGAGTATGTCTATTTAACAGATCATCGAATACATCAAATCTGAATTCTTAGGTATATTTAAAACATTATGATATATGATGTTACTTTTTAGACACACTTCATTGTAAATCTTGCTTGCAGCCTAGAGCACTCAAGCATGGTTGTGTGGTATTTGAATCCTACAGTGAATTCAAATGAAAAATAGGAGAAAGGTGGAGGATCAGAAAGAGAATTGGTAGCACATACTTATGATAGGGTATGTCTTGGTTTATGTTTCACAACTGGTGGAATGAGAAAAGCTTTTTCATTCCAACAAAACCCCGGCCCTAATGAATGAATAACCTGGAGTGATTGAATGCACATGGAAAATGAAACATTTGTCTCATTTACTGCTGTTCAACCTTTGGAGGAAGCCGTACACTAGTAAGTTATTACTTGAAACATGCAAATACCCTTTTAATTGTATGTAATTTTGATATTTACAAAATATATTCGTTATACTAGGCTTTCTTCTTGGGTTGGGTTGGTTTAGCTGGTTTTTTAATCTATTATTGTACTAACATTTGTAGGTTCTCTTGCTAGTTCTGTGTTCAATCTATAATGTCTCTTCAAACTCTACCAAATTAAACCAAAAAAGTCAGGTTGGCTTAGTTCTGGACCTGTCTTCGAAGGAGTTCTTACCGTGTGTGACTTTTGAGAAGAACTAGAAGCCTTTAAATTTCTTTGTATTAGAATATGCAAATTTATTTTATCTATCTTGATTGTATTTGGTAAAGTTTTAAAGAACTACTTCTTCGTGTCCCTTTTTAGATTATGTTTCCAAAATACAGTGTTGCTCCTTTAAGGTTTTCATTTTCCAAAAAAATTGTATTGCTTCCAATGATTTGTTACAACTTACAAATTTTAATTTTTTTCCTTATTAATACATTAATGTCTCTGTTATCATATTTATTATAGAAAATGCCATGGCTGAGTTAGGGAGGCTGCTCATGTATGAAGCATCAAGGGATTGGCTGGTGAGTTATTACATTATGCATGTTGTTTTACTAACAACATTAGTGTTAAAAAACTAACAATAAAAAATGTCTTGATATGGATGAAGAACGCAAGAGGACCTTTGATGGGAAGGAAGTTCCTATTTTTAGATTGAAAAGTGGATTATTATCATTTTTGTATAGTTGGCTCTCTAGGAAATTTTGATCCATCCTTGAACCGATTTTTGGATTTTGTTGAAGAGTTTGAGTAATTTCAATGTATAGATGAGATAGGTCTTATGGACTTTTGTATACAGGTTGCATCCCCTTGGTGCGTCTTATTTTATGATACACTATATAAAGACATTGTCAAAATTAGTGTTTTGGCCGAGCTAATGCATAACTCTGAAAATGTGGACATTGATTTATAAGGATAAGGTTTATCTGTGCGGAGAACTTTCCTTAATATCAATTGTAGCCTGTTTCAAGTTCATTAGAGAATTGTTGGAATGTGGTTGTTAACATTTGATTGTATGTGTCTCTTCTCCTAGATATTTACCACATAAGAGTTCCAAGAAATGCATGAATAGTTAATATGAGTGTTACTCAAAGAATCTAGCCAAAGCTATTTGTTATCTTGGAATATATGCATCCTAGCAACTTGACAATGCTCTCTCTCTCTCTCTCTCTCTCTCTCTCTCTCTCCACATATGTATACACTTCTTCTTTCTTCCTCAATCTCCAAAGAATTTGCCTTCCAAGGGGATTGTGGGAAGCTTGCGAGGAGGTAGTCTGTGAGCAATGTTGGGAGCCTGACACATCTGGTGTCTGCATTTTATATGAGCTTTCTGGGTCATTAAAAAGTGGATTTTTCGTTGGAAGCTGTTTTGGTTTCTTACCTTTTTTATGTGCTTATGATGCTATGCTGTTATTGATGGCAGCCTACCATAACAGGGGAGATTCGGTCACCAATGGGTCCTGCCTCTGTAGAATTTATTGATCCAAGGGAACCTGTGGTGGTTAGTATATTAATCTTCTCTGTTTTTTCTTTTTACCACTGTTACTCATTTCATTGTAATGGATAGACTGAATTAATTCCCTATCCTGCCACTGTATATAGAGTCTAGGAAGTTTCCCCCATTATGCTCGTTGCAACTTGCAAATGATTAGGACATACTTTTTTTTTGGGCCAATTACACTAATGGTCCCTATAGTTTGGGACTTGTACCACTTTGGTGCATGACTTTTTAATTGTGACACATTTGATCCTGAATTTTGATCTTGTTCTAAATAAGGACAATTGAAGATACCATTGCTCAATTTCAAAGAAAAAGTCTTCAATTTGATAAAATATATACTAATTTGAAAAAAATAGATGTCAAAAAAATATTTTTAAATTTTTAAAAATTATTTCTACCTATTATGTAAAATTGATAAATCTTTTACACATTTATTTTTATTTTTTTAACCAAATTAATTTTTGTTATGTGTTTGGATGACGATCATATAATGGGCGGTTGTTTTTATTTTCATTAAATTAGTTTTTATTTTTCCCAATGTCAAATATAGCGATGACTTTGATATCATTATTAAACCAATCAATTAAATAAAAAAATCCAAAACTAAAAGCATTTCGTATATTAAATGTATTTATTACACATTAAAAGCCTAACAACCACTTATTACATGATCATCATTCAAACACATAATAAAAATTAATTTGGTAGAATAAATAAATAAATAAATGTGTAAAAGATTTATTAATTTTACATAATTTTATCTTTGGTTGGCAGAAATATTTTTTAAAAATTCAAAAATATTTTTTTCACATTTATTTTTGTCAATTTAGTTTATATTTTATATTTTTTCTCAAATTAGTTTATATTTTATCAAATTGACGATTTTGCTATTGAAATTGAGCAATGTTATATTCAATTGTTCTTATTTAGAATAAGATTCAAAATTCAGAGTCAAATGTGTCACAATTGGAAAATCAGGGACTAAAGTGACAAGAGTCTCAAACTATAGGGAGTGTAATTCGCCTTTTTTTTTTTTAATATTATTGGCGACAAATCGTGATACAAATTTATGAATGCGGTCTCTGTTTGAAATTATTTAATCCTGGGCCCTTGGCAGAGTAGTGCTTTTATGTAGCCATCACCTGATGCAGTATTTTTTTAGCTTTGCAGATTGTTCCTATCTTGAGAGCTGGTCTTGCTCTATCAGAATATGCATCATCAATTTTACCGGCAACAAAAACATACCATTTGGGTAAGAATGGTTTTTGCATTGTCATGTGGAAGGGGCGATGTTATTTTGATAGGTCAACTTATCTATATGTATTCTTTTAGCTTTGAATATAAATCTTCTACAAATTTCATCAAAAGGCCTATATTCTTTAGGAGTTCTGATGGGACTAGGATCTTTCCTGTGAATATTGCATTTTGTACATGTAAAATCATGTCCACATACTCGGTACCTTTATTCATTAAATTTGCTTTTATGGTTTTGCTTATTTCAATAACATTTAGTGAATCCAATTTATTTTATGTGGTATATATTGTTCCTTCATTTTGAAGATTCATTAAATTTTTAGGTAATTGACCATGTCTGTGAATAATGTTATTTACGTTTTGCAAATTAAGGTATTAGCAGAGATGAGGAAACACTTCAGCCAACTGTATATTTGAACAAGTAAGAATTCTCCATTGTAGAAACTTAGCTTTTCCCTTTACTCTTCATTTTATGTTGTTCCTTTTTGCTCCGAACATGTTGTCTTGTTCTTTTCTCATTGCTTTCATTATGGTATGATTCCAATTCAACCAAAAGCCTTCATGCATTATTTATGTTATGAAAACTTTTTCTTCCTTTCACCATATTTTTTGGTACTTGTCATTGTTGGCGCAAATCTTAAGTCCTTAGTTAATAAACTGCACTAAAAGTACATGTGTGTACCCTATTTAACTTTATTTTCAAAGCATATGAATACCTAATCTAAACATGTGGATATTTGAATGTCTTAACCATTCATTATAAAAACAAATAACAGTTTTTGGGTAATCTTGCTTCTGATACATTTTGCATCTTGTTTCGTAGGTTACCTGAAAAATTTCCTGAAGGATCTCGAGTATTTGTTGTAGATCCCATGCTGGCAACCGGTATTTTTACTATGGCTAGAGCTCCTTTCCTCATGCTTAGCATATTTTTTCATAGTGTTTTCTTTGTTTCCTTCTTTTTGTCTCTGATTGAAAAAACTGTTTAAAGTTGCATGGTTCCTCTAATTTTTCTATTATCCTTGTAGTAATTTTGATAAATAAGTTCTTACTTCTTGGTCAGATCAAATTTGTATTTTGATTTTCATCTTGTCTTTCCTTATGGATTGCAAATTGAGATGCATTTGATATGGCCGTTGACAAATTTAACACTTTTTGGAAGAATAAAAAATGTAAACTGTTAAGTATTAGTGTATAATGGTATTTATGTTTTTGTTCCTTTAGTCTTTTATTATAAGTATGTGTAACCCTAATATGTTTAGTGTGTGTGAAATAATATACAGTAGCAGCAGTGCTCTCTTTTGTCTTCCTCTCTTTCTTTTCTTTCTTTTATGCAAATCTAACATGGTATCAGAGCTTCATCTTCCTCCTTGAAGATTCTTCTCTTGTTTCTTGTTTTTTTTGGTTCTTCCCTGTACATAGAAAGAAAAAAAAAAAAATCCAAAAAAAAAGAAAAATCTTTTATGGTCGAAATTTGATGGTTTTTCACCATAGATTTTTATTTTAATTTTTTGATGAGTTTTTGAGTGTTTTTCCAATTTTTGTTTATTTTTGGAAAAACGATTGGTTTTTTTGGAAGACCCTGCTGGGGCTTGTTTTTGGCTGTTTTTTCCTTCCTCCCTCTACCTTGGGAGCCGACTGGGACTGTCCTAGGGTTGGGAGGACTGGTTTTGATGATTTGGCAAGGTTTCACTCTATTTTTGTTGATTTTCCTTAGTTTCAGCACGTTTTTCTCTCAGTTTCTGACTGGTTTTGGCCTCTTCAGCCCCTGTTTCGGCTCTGTTTTTGTCTCTAGAGGTAAATTTTGTCCCTAAGTTGAGTTTGTGGATTCGCCTCTATTTGTTTTTGCTGTTTTGGGCAGGTATTTGTTTTTTTTCTATTGTGGGCATTTAATCTTCAATGGCTGAGGGTGAGACTAAGGATACAATTAGTGATGAGGGTGGCCTCCGTCGTGTTATGACTCTTACCGACAATCCCTCTCTTCAAATTAGTCCCGTTAAATTGGATGGTTCCAACTATTTGATTTGGTCACGCTCCTGTGGTCTTGCTATTGCTGCTCGTCGTTTGACTGGCTACATTACTGGTTCTCTTCTCTTACCGGATGGTGACGACTCCCTCAATACTCAATGGATTTCTGAAAATGCTCTTGTTATGACTTGACTAATCAACTCTATGCAGCCCATCATTAGTCGAAATTTCCTTTTATTAGATACTGCTCATAAGATTTGGACAGCTGCAGCCCCAAATGTACTCCCAACAAGGTAATGATGCGCAGGCGTATGAGTTAAGAAAGAAGCTTCGGAGCTTAGATCAGAAAGATAGATCACTCGCAATCTATTATGCTGAGTTGAGTAGTTTGTGGCAGGAACTAGACTATTACCAAAGCTTCCAGGCTGTTTGTTCTCAGGATGCAACGTTGTTTCAGCAAACCGTTGAGAAAGAGCGTGTGTATGACTTTCTTGCCGGCTTGAACTTGGAGTATGATCAGATTCGCCTCCAAGTGTTGGGTCGTTCACCTTTTCCCACCCTACGCGAGGTGTATGCCCTTGTCCAGCAAGAGGAGAGTCGCCGTAGTGCTTTGTCTTTTTTCCTTCCTAGTCAGCGAACTATTATTTGTGGTGAGGGGGAGCCTAATAGTTCTCTTGATGTAGAGCTTGACAATAGTGGTCATTTGGACAGGGCTGATCTTAAGACTTATTCTCGGCCTCCAAACGAGCAAGCATCCCTTGTGCCACCAAACCCATCATCATCCCTTATGCCAGTTCTAGGTAATGCATCTCAATCTATCCCTCCACCTGTAGTTGAGAGTCCTGTTGTCAATGATTCGAGTCTTCCTATTGCTCTTAGAAATGGGGTTAGGGCTTGTACTCAACACCCTATTTCTAAATTTGTGTCATATGATTCATTGTCTCCTACATATCGTGCTTTTGTTTCGTCTTTGTCTTCGGTATGTATTCCCCAGGGTTGGACAGAAGCTATCAATGATCCTAAGTGGAAAGTAGCTATGGTAGAAGAGATGGAAGCTCTAAGCAAGAATAACACTTGGGAGTTGGTTTCTCTTCCTAGTGGAAAAAAGCCTGTAGGATGTAAGTGGGTGTTCACCATCAAGCAGAAAGCAGATGGAACAATTGAACGGCGCAAAGCACAATTAGTGGCCAAGGGGTTTACTCAGACATATGGAATTAATTACCAGGAAACCTTTGCTCCTGTGGCAAAGATGAATTCCATTCGTGCTATTCTCTCATGTGCAGCTAATTTGGGATGGCCTTTACAGCAGTTAGACGTGAAGAATGCATTTCTCCATGGTGATTTGGAGGAGGAGGTATATATGGATATACCACTGGGATTCTCATCTCTGTCTACAGTTGGAAAAGTTTGTAGGTTGAAAAGGTGTTATATGGTTTGAAACAGTCTCCTTGAGCTTGGTTTGACAGATTCCTAAAGGCTATGTTGAGGTTCGGGTATAAGCAAAGCAATTCAGATCACACAATGTTTGTCAAACGTCACGCAAATAAGGTAACTGTGCTTATAGTATATGTGGATGACATAGTTGTGACAGGTAATGATGAGGAAGAAGTGACACATCTTAAGATGCTGTTGGCCAAGGAATTTGAGATCAAAGACCTTGGTTCGTTACTGTACTTTCTTGGGATTGAAGTTGCTAGATCTGACAAAGGCATCTTTTTTTCTCAGCGGAAATATATTCTAGATCTTCTTGAGGAAACTGACATGTTAGGCCACTGACCTGCTGATTCACCAATTGAGGCTAATCACCATCTTTGTAGTGGTGTTGGTGATCTTGTGGAGAAGGAAAGGTACCAGCGACTTGTGGGAAGACTTATATATTTATCCCACACTCGTCCAGATATTGCCTATGCGGTTGGGATAGTGAGTCAATTTATGCATAAGCCTCGTGCCCCTCATTTGGATGCAGTGTATCATATTTTGAGGTATCTTAAATCTGCTCCTGGAAAAGGGATTTTATTTTCCAATCATGGTCACTTGAGGTTGGAGGCATTCACAGATGCTGATTGGGCTAGTTCTATAGATGACAGACGATCTACCTCCGGTTACTGTGCATTTGTGGGGGGAAATTTAGTCACATGGCGTAGTAAGGCCTTGTTTGGCATATACTAAAAAAGTTAAAAACTCAAAAAGTCACTATCCTATTTAAATCACATCATCTTATTTAAGTCACATCGCCTCTCTACCACATCACTTCAAACCCAACCCATATTTAACTCATATTTCATAAAAAGTCAAAAAGTGCACTTATTTAGTACATCCCAAACCACTCCTAAGAAACAAACAGTGGTGTCCAGATCTAGTGCAGAGGCAGAATACATGGCTATAGCGCATAGTACATGTGCATTGATGTGGCTCTAGTTCTTGTTGAATGATATTGGGTTTGTTTGTAGTGAACCATTGACACTGTACTGTGACAACAAAGTTGCCATTAGTATTGCTCACAATCCTGTTCAGCATGATAGAACAAAAAATATTGAGATTGACAAACATTTCATCAAGGAGAAATTGAATAAGGATTTCATATGTATGCCTTTTGTGAAGTCTGTAGATCAATTGGCTAATGTCTTTACTAAGGGTCTTAGTAGTAAGGTTTTCCATCCTATTTGCTGCAAGTTGAGCATGAGAGATATCTTTGCACCAACTTGAGGGGGAGTGTTAAGTATTAGTATATAAGGGTAGTTATGTCTTTTGTTCCTTTAGTCTTTTATTATAAGTATGTGTCACCCTAATATGTTTAGTGTGTGTGAAATAGTATACAGCAGCAACAGTGCTCTCTTGTTTCTTCCTCTCTTTTCTTTCCTTTATGCAAATCTAACATAAACAAAAGCTGAATGCGACTCTCTCTCTCTCTCTCTCTCCAGTGAATGCTAGTACCATGAATGTATGAACTATTTTGTATAGCATCCGTAGCTTAATTTTTGCCTGCAGAGTTTTTTTTATTGTTTGTGTTTAATGTTCTGGAAGAGATAAAAATAAGCTTGACTTGGGTCAACTGTCAACTTTATATTTATTTGTTCTGTTTTTTTCACAAATAAATGTTAGGTGGTACAATAGTTGCAGCTCTTAACCTGTTAAAGGAACGGGGGGTTGATAACAAGCAAATTAAAGTGGTTAGTAAAATGACTCTCTCTCTCTCTCTCTGTATTTTTCTTTCCCTTATTTATGCTCCTATTGCACATATATGCATTGGGATTATTTATGTCAACTTTGAATATATCTAAATGCTCGAATTGCAATTTCTAGAATTAGTTACCTTAGCGCAAGTGTTGCACAATAAGACGTGAAAGGAGTCGGTCTTCATTTTTTCCCATACAAGCTATCAGTATTTTCTTCGAATATTCTTGCTTTTTCTTTCTTACAAATGTCAAGACCCCCGTTTGGAAAATCTTGCTGTTTTAGTTAACTTATAATCAGATGTGCAAGCAGGTTTTCAAGTACACACTGGTTTTCTAGGTTAATCTTTACAGAGAAGAGTCGAATATAAGTGATTGGATTGATTTGTAACTGCATTTCTGATGATTTTGCACCTGTTAAATGTTGTCTTGTTTAGTTCATAGTACATGCATCTGTGCAAACAAAGGATGGCCATTTTTCATTTTCAGTTGGCGTTTATAGTTAATGCTCTTACAATACAAACTGCCATGCCATAGGTATCTGCTGTTGCTGCTCCTCCGGCCCTTCAAAAGCTCAGTGAGAATTTCCCTGGGTAATATATTTCTGAATTGAATCCTGTGTTCAAGATACTGAAATAAATCTTGTGCCTTTATTTTTGTTGTCCCTATGATTTTTCAGGCTTCATGTATATGCTGGAATCATTGACCCCACTGTTAATGACCAAGGGTAAATACTTCCCACTGTTATAATGAAAAAGAAACAACAACTTTCATGAGGCTGTAGTGTTTAAAACTCATCTTGTTTGGGCAATTTTCAGGTTCATAATTCCTGGACTTGGAGATGCAGGAGACCGTAGTTTTGGTACATAAATCCACCGAATTGTATGTCTACCCAAGTCCTTTTTTTTCTTTTTTCTGTCATTGATTTCCTTCAATTTGGCATTTTGAGCATATAATCAATTGTGGATCTACTTTTCTGTTTTACCATTACCAAGAACATGAAAACTCATGATGCATTATTATACGGGCATTAATATTCTTTTTTCGTGTGCTAAATGGATCATACACACATGTAATAGAAGCAGTCTGATTACCAAAACAGAGTATGCTCATGTAAAATCCCTGTTGGCTAGGATTGAAAATATAACTGAGCAGACCAAACCACCCACCTTAACCAACCGGTGTATCCGGGTTTTGGTCGGTTTTTTTCCCGCCTTTGGGTCAGTTCAGACAGAATTGTGCCTTGCTTTGGGGATCCAATTATGAAAAATAAAGAGCTTAGAACAGACTTATTTACATATGGATAATTTTTTGAGAATCTGATCAGTCTTATTTTCAATAGGAGATCATAGTAAGCGGGTGAATACATTGTATGCTCTTTTTGGTGAATTACTTCTTAGACCTATATTCAAAAGTCTGAAATAATACTTTATCACGAGCGCAGCAACTGCCATGAACACCAGCTCTGCTGCCATAAACTGCCCCCAATATCTGTATTCTGCTGTTGACACGGCCACATGGGCACTAGAAGTTCTAGTGTTCATCACTGATGTAGTTATTAACAATATATACATTGTTATTGTTGTCATAAATATTACTACTACAATCAAGAATGGAGGGGAAAACATACCAAAGAGGAAATACAGATTTTCCAAAATTAGGGGGCGCCACCACCTCCTCCCCCACCACCACAACCAACCCCACCATCTCCGCCACCTCCGCCACCACCACAACCACCACCACCACCTCCACCACCTTCATGTCCACCAAAACCACCACCATCACCACATCTAGCACCATCGGTGGTTGTGAAAATTGACATAGCATGTCCATGGTGGCCACCACCACCACCAACTGTACTACCCATGCCACCAGTAAATTGTCTACCTCTAATGCAAAGGGAGATGATGAGACACAAGATGAAAAAAAAAATTGGTATGCAAAAAACCAAGGCAATTTTACCTGTAGTAATCATTGTTCTTATTAGTAAAGTTGGTTTGTTTGCTTTCCTTACCTTCCAACCAAATTACCACAATATATATAAATCCTATGTTCTCTTGAATTTTCCATGGTAAAAGCAATGAAGGAGTTCAAGGTTGGAATTATCTATAAATAACTATTTATGGTCCATGCATTCAAATCATTGACGAGTTTGATGTTTTGATTAGTCTTATTTCAAAAATAAAATAAATCCAAGTCAAGTATGGAGGGGTTGAGTTCTCTTACTGACCTTCATCTTTTATCTATTATTTTTTTTTTTTTTGAGTTCTAACTTGGACCCACATCGATACTTGGGACCGAGGGGGAGTCTACCCCGGGCGGACCATGTAATCCCAATCACGCTTGCGCGGACAAAATTAAGGGGCAATTGAGAGGGAGATTTATGAGCTGGAATGGGCCATGGTAAAGGCCGGGCAAAATGAGGGGCTGAACATGTTTGGGCCGTGATAGCTTGGGCTAGTCCAGATAAGGTTTTGCTCGGTTGAGGTCCAGGACCATGTTGGGACCGAGCTACTTGGGCTTGTCTATGTTGAAAATCGAGCTACTTGAGTTGCTCGGCCGAGATGTTGCCTGCCATGCTGGATTCCATGGTTCACGTGTTTAGTGCCGGCAGGAAGGCCTTCGGTTTGTTGGCTCGGCCTATCTTGAACTCGGCTTTTGCCGGAATGCAACCGAGCTCGGTCGTTCTGGAGCTCGGCAAGTGGAGCACTCGGGTACGCTACGCAGCGCGGTCGTGAAAGGCCAAGGTGGTTCCGCCAGTCTGTCGAGCTCCGCTAATATAGCCTGACGGTTTGGTTAGGTGGTGATTGCAGGGTTTGTGCTAACAGATGGGAGAGCAGCACCATGTGTTAAGAGACTAATGGGAGCAGATTTGGACGTAGAAAGTATATAAGCGTGTCTGCGCCCCCTATGCTATGATGGAACATAATTTGGTGAGATAAATCTATACATTCAAGTCTCTCCTCTCTCTCTCTCTATCCCTGAGTGTGTGTTAACTTGACCGTCGTAGGGGTTTTTCGGCCACACACTGCCGGGTAGCTCACCGCCGTTTTGTTCGCAGGTCGATTGGACAGACAAAGAGCTTGGTAGAAAGGAGTAAGGGCTTTGCGGAATATTTGCTCCCCGTACAATTGGCGCCGTCTGTGGGAATATTCCATCCATGGCGGACTTGGAGACTTCCCTAGAAGGACATTCAAGAGACGCACGGGATAAGCGCAGAAGGAGTTTTGGTCACTCTCGGAGCCCAGACGGACACCGACGGCGGAGAGAATCACACGCCAGACGTCTAGAGCACAAGTTGAGGGACCAAGACGCTGTCATTCGAAGAATGGCGGCAGAGATGGAAGATCTCAAGTGACATGTCAAAGGGAAGGATGTTGCTGAAGTGGGAGACCACAGTGAGCGCACCCAATCATGCCGTTCAAGCAGTCAGAGCCAGCGGCACACTCCCTCTCTTTCTATTAACAGAAGTTTCAGGGTTGGAGATTCCGATGCGCCTGCAGAGAAGTCGAGTGCGCAAGACAGTACTCTATCAACCCTCGCGTCCTGCGACGACGTTGAGGTATTCCTACTTTGCGTGCTCCGAGGACTTGCGGGCAGTGTTGAAAGAGTGGGCTCACCGGCGAGAGACTCAAAGGGTGCCGGCGCTCCAGCGGCTATCTTACGGGGGTCATGCCAGTGAAGAGCTCATAATGCCACCACCCCGCCCAGCCGTGCCTCTCCATCTAGACACAGATTTGGCAAGGCTGAGCGCCACCCCCTTCTCCCTTGAGATAGAAACCACTCCTCTCCCCGCGGGCTTCCACCAGCCCAAGTTTACGCTCTACGACGGAAAGACCGATCCATACATGCATGTAAGCCACTTCCGGCAGGTCATGGCCGGACATAGGCGCAATGACGCTCTTATGTGCCTAATCTTTCCGTCGAGTTTGGGTGAGTTGGGCTTGAAATAGTTTGAAAGGCTGCCAGAGGGAAGCATCGAAAGGTGGCAACAGTTGGCGGAAGCATTTGTGACTCGTTTCAAGACCAACACAAAAACCCCAAAGGAGGTGAACCACCTTCTCAGTGTCAAAATGGAGCCGAGCGACACACTCAAGGCATACGACTCCAGATACTGGGAAACCTTCAATGAGATTTTGGATTGCCCGATCAACCTGGCAATCACCCAATATAAACGCGGTCTCCCGGTCGGACATAGGTTGCGGGACTCGCTTACTATGAACCAGCCGACATCCATGGGTCGACTCATGCAGCGCATTAATGAGCACATCCGAGTAGAGGACGATGCGGCGGTATCCACCGCGAAAACAACTCCGGTGGCAACAGACAAGAGGTCAGCTGGCAAGGTACACGCAGTTGGACAGGAGACTAACCGTCCAAATGATCGCGCCGAGGAATCTGACCGAGGATCAAATCGTCAAAATTGGGGAAGGGGTCGTCGTAATGACCGAGATGAATACCCCCGCGATGACGTAGCTGATGCCAACAAAAGGTTGAAAGCTCGGACAGGCATCACCACGGTCTTTAAGATTCCAATCTATCGCATACTTAGTGAAATCCATGACGAGAATTACGTCCGGTTTCCTGCTAAGTTGGGCGACGCACAAAAGGGTTTCAATCCACGGTACCGCTGCACATATCACCGAGAGTGAGGACACCGAACAGAGGACTCTTTGCCTCTGAAGCAACACTTGAAGGAGTTTGTCGCAGCCGGACACTTGGATCTTTACATTGATGGGGGTGTTAAGGCCGCACATCCCATCCCGGCTGATCAGCATGGACCGGATGACTTGGAGGCGCCCCCTCAAGGAGTGGTTAATGTGATCCACGGCATAGTGGAGCCGGCGCGTGTATGCGAGCTCCGAGGGATGATTAATAAGGCGGAACACATGAGGGAAGTGTTGTCGGTCCAGTCCGCGATCAAAAGGGGCAAGACCGAGGAGAAAGACGTGATTAGTTTCTCCACAAGGGACCTAGAGCGCATTCAAACGCCACACAACGATGCCCTAGTGGTCACACTCCGCGTCAAAGAATTTGATGTCAAGCGCATCTTGATCGACCAGGGAAGCTCGGTCGAGATCATTTACTACGACACGTTCAAACAACTTAGACTCCGAGATACAGACTTGGCTTCGGCAACTTCTCCATTGGTTGGTTTCAACTCGCAATCGGAGTGGCCTTTTGGAAAGATAATTTTACCGGTCAAAGCTGGATCCGTGATCAAGCAGGTGGAGTTCTGGGTATTGCAGGTGCCGTCTACGTACAATCTGATCCTCGGCAGGGGATGGCTTCACACTATGCAGGCTGTGGCGTCGACTTATCACCAGGTTATTAGATTCCCCTCGGTTATGGGGGCAATTGAGGAAGTTTGGGGCGATCAAGTCATGTCGAAACAATGCTTCGTGGCAGTGAACGGGAGCTGAGCTGCCAAAGGTTTCGTCCAAATGATTGAAGGACCGGAAGATCGTGGAGTCCTTGAAGATGTGGGCGCCAAGGCTGAGGGCAAAGCTGTTGAGGAGTTGGTAGAACTGCGGATTGACACTGAAAGCTCGAACAAGTTCTTCTTGCTCGGCTCAAGCCTTACCGCCCAAGAAAGGACCGAGATGGTAGAATTCTTGATGGCAAATATCGAAGTCTTCGCATGGTCGCCCTATGACATGCCCGGTATCGACCCAAGCTTTATTTGTCATCGCCTCAATGTTTTCACTGGTGCAAGGCCGGTCATTCAGAGAACTAGGAGGTCGGCGTTGCACCACGCCGAGGTAGTCGCAGAGGAGGTAAAGAACTTGCTTGAAGCTCGGGTTATTCAGGAAGTATACTACCCTCGGTGGATTTCAAACACGGTCGTAGTACCCAAGAAGAATGGGAAGTGGCGAGTTTGTGTCGACTACAAGACCGTCAACTAAGCATGCCCCAAAGGTTTCGTCCAAATGATTGAAGGACCGGAAGATCGTGGAGTCCTTGAAGATGTGGGCGCCAAGGCTGAGGGCAAAGCTGTTGAGGAGTTGGTAGAACTGCGGATTGACACTGAAAGCTCGAACAAGTTCTTCTTGCTCGGCTCAAGCCTTACCGCCCAAGAAAGGACCGAGATGGTAGAATTCTTGATGGCAAATATCGAAGTCTTCGCATGGTCGCCCTATGACATGCCCAGTATCGACCCAAGCTTTATTTGTCATCGCCTCAATGTTTTCACTGGTGCAAGGCCGGTCATTCAGAGAACCAGGAGGTCGGCGTTGCACCACGCCGAGGTAGTCGCAGAGGAGATAAAGAACTTGCTTGAAGCTCGGGTTATTCAGGAAGTATACTACTCTCGGTGGATTTCAAACACGGTCGTAGTACCCAAGAAGAATGGGAAGTGGCGAGTTTGCGTCGACTACAAGACCGTCAACTAAGCATGCCCTAAAGATAGCTTTCCCCTGCCCAGAATAGACCAGTTGGTGGATCTAACGGTCGGACATAACAGGCTCAGTTTCTTGGATGCCTACCGCGGCTATCATCAGATTGCCATGCATGGCCCCGACCGTGAGATCACCTCTTTCACTACTCCACGGGGACTTACTACTATCGAGTCATGCTTTTTGGTTTGAAGAACACTGGGGCAACTTTCCAAAGGATGGTGACCAAAATGTTTGCTCCTCTGTTAGACCGGACGATGGAGGCTTATATTGATGACATGGTGGTTAAAAGCCGGCATCAAGCAGACCATTTGTCCGACCTAGTCGAGATGTTTGCCATCCTCAAACAGCACAAGTTATGCCTGAATGCGTCTAAATGTGCCTTTGGCGTGGGATCCAGAAAATTCTTGGGTTTCCTAGTCACAAACCGAGGCATCGAGGCAGACCCCACACAGATCAAGGTCGTACAGGAGTTGAAGCAGCCTAACTCGGCTAAGGACGTGCAGCATCTGGCCGGGATGGCCGTCGCGCTTAACTGATTCATAAGCCGGTCATCAGATCGCTGCCGCCCTTTCTTTCGAGCCTTGAAATCTAAGTTTTCGTAGGACGAGGAGTGTGACTGGGCTTTGGCCGAACTCAAAGAGTATTTGTCTTTTGCACCACTATTGGTAACGC